GCAGGCAGGGTGACTGTGGACAGGCTAGGATAAGCAGCTCCTTGCAACTGGTTGTCCAAGTGGGCCAGGAAGGCCCTGGGAGGGGTTTTTGGTTGGCTGTAACTTGCCTTGTTGCCGCTGCCCAAGTCCCCTTTCCCCCTCCCTTCCCCCTCCTCCCTGTTTTTATCTGCCTTAGGATCTGTCTGTGAGACCCTCCACCCCGACATTTTAACCTGTTAATACAGTTGTTTGTTTCCCCAAGATTAGGCTTGCTGTGTGCTGAATCCAGTGGCTGGTCCAGGTTGCTGGGACCAGGACCTTTCTGGGCAGGATTTGGCCCAGTTGGCCAGGGAAGTGGGGAATCCCTGCTGGCTTTCTGTTACAGCTTCACCTTTCATATGTTAAGATGAAATGTATAGGTTTGTGATTGGTTACAGTGTGTTCATGCTATATGATGATGATAGAAGTATACATTCTTTCTTCAAGTCTTTGCTCAAGGAATCTACTCTTTCTTAGTAGATTACTCACTCTGCAGAATGATAATCAATCTTGCTGTATAAACAGTTAATTGCTTTTTTGACCTTCATGTCAATGAAGCTGAGAATTACTTGCAAAATCTCTCACCTTTTTGTTTTGAAGTGAGAGACTTTTATGAATTCTCCAACAGAGGGAACACTGAACATGAGAAAGAAGTGATTAATCCATTGAATCCATGAAGAGATTTTGTTTCCTTTATGAATAATTTTGAAGACTGGTCATTTGGATCAGCATTAACTGGGTTAAGTAAAGATTTTACTGCTGCTCAGCCTTTAGCATTTTGTAATCTGGCCTTGCAAAAGAATGTGTTTGTTTCCACGTGAATGTCTCATAGCAGCTACAAGGGGGTGCCACAACTCTTTCAGTCTGAGGCCTAAATCCCATTTCAGAGCAGCTCTTGAGAGCCACGCTCCAGAAGTGATGGGTGCTGAATGCCAAAGGCAAAATGGGTAGGGCTAAAAGACCACATATTTTACCTTTAAGCTCTTACTGCAAATAAGAGAGGCATTTCACTTTTTAGAATGGGCAGGGGAACTGCACAAAATTGTTATAAAATTGTTCATAAAAAGAGGTTTGTTTTGTATGTTAGGTTGTGTTGCAATGTTCATTAGAAAACAAATAGCCTCATGGAATCTAGCACTAACAATTGGAAGGCGTTGTGCAACTGTCTAGTCCATAACACATTTTTCATGGTAAGAAAAAGAATGGAAAAAAAGTGTTGGGAAAATTTGGATAAATCCTGGCAGAAAAACGTTGCTTATATGTCTTTGTGTTATAAAATCAAACCTGCACCTCTTTCTCACAAAGCACCAGCTTTCCAAGCCAAGTCACTGTTTAGTATTGCTGTTGCCTCAAGAGGATGGTTAGACCGAGAAGCCTCACTAATACTATCAGTGAGGAAATACCTGTGTTCTTATAAGCTGTAGAAAAACTGAAATAATGGTGTACAGTTGTTTCTGAATGGGCCCACCTAAGCAGGCAAGCTCCTGTTGAGTGTGCTTGTCAAACCAGACTTCCTGAAGGATTCCTCCATCAGACACATTTGCGTGTTTAAACAGACAGACCCACTGACATGAACTGTCAAGAATTTGCCAGGTTATAAAAGTGTCTGAACATGGACTGTGATGTTGTAGTCAGTGGTGCAGGCCACCACCTGGTAGCATGCTGTCGTGAGTAACTGCAGGGGTCCTGGGTGATCTTTCAATAAAACTGCCCGGGTTCAAGGCGAAAGGGGTCTTTCCTGACTGAACCTGGTTATCTTTGTTGCGGCTGCTGTTGAGGCTTTCCTGACAAA